CACATAATAGCACTAACAGGAATAGTTGCATTCAACATCAACAAAGCAACTATTCACTCATCATTTCTATACCTATATAGAACGTCAAAATTATTATTTGAACGATATATATCTAAAACAACTTCAGGAAAGATTACAAAATGTAGAGTACTTAATAATTGATAAGAAGAATATAGTAGGGAAAAGAATGTTTAAGTTAATAGATACAAGACTAAGATAAGTATTTTCAAAAAATAAGAACGAATCATTCAGTAAATATTCTGTAATCTTATTTTATAACTTTAGACAACTTCTACTAATATGTGATGTACTCATGTATATTAATAATCTATCACGTAATGATTCATCAAACAGCAGAATAGTAGTATACAAGCAATTCAAAAAAGTGTATAAACTGGTAATCTGAAAATAAGCAACAGGAATTTAGAGATATACTATTAAGATTATGAAAAGAGGAAAGTATATTAAATGATTAGACTACCTTCACAACATGATTCAAAGAAAACTTAAATGAGATTGAACATGACAGTTTTTAAGATGCTGTATTTTTACTAACAAAATGAATCAAAGTAGATAAGGTAAATAATGAGATACTCAAAAGGTTAAATAGATCAGTAGTAAAAATATGTGTAATACATAGTGGAAGAAGAGAAGCTAAATGTGTTAGCTCAGAAATTTTAAAGGGACTTGAAGCGTAAATATTCCTTACAAAAAGAGCTTGTGTTATATTAACTTCAAACCTATGGATTGATGCAGGTTTGGTAAACAAATCTATAAGAATTGTAGAAGATATATTATTTAATGAGCAAGGATCACTATCATTTCTAACAGTAGTATTCATAAATTTTGAGAAATTAATAGACCTACCATAAAAAACTAGAAAGGTAAGGTTGTAATTCTAATAGCATCTATTAAATGCAGCTGGAAAGGCAAAAATAGGATGACTTATTCTAGAATTCAGATACTAGTTTATTTTGCCTAAACAATTATCATGCACAAAAGCTAAGTGCTGATATTGAAAAAAGCCAAAATAAATATTGGAAGTAAGGAGTTTGCAGCAGGTTTAATGTTTGTAGCACTTTCATGAGCTCAGATTCTAAATAACATGTGTTTTAAACAGTTCAGCTTCAATAGACTTAAGCATATAAAAAACTGTAAACAACTTCAAAAAAGAAAGAAAAAAGAAATGAGGTTATATTTAAAGATATAATAACATGAACGTTCAAACAAAAAATGAAAAACAAACTGTATTTTACTTCTTAAAAAGAATATTTGATTATATAAATTTAATAAAATTTAAGTATTATTTTATAAAATATATATATTTGATACATGCGTTTCATTACAAGAATTTTTAAAAATAAAAATAAACAAAAATAAATAAAAATAAACATTATTATCTATTTATCAAATTAACACAAAAAGGAAAATCAGTATACATATTTATCTAGCAAATAAAGTATCAATTTAAGTGACAAGCAGGCGGATACCAAGATATTTTTTCATTGTATATAGTCATACGTTTCATTCTGAACTAATAACTAATGTCTTTGATATAGCCAATCAAAAATCAGAATTATAATAAATTTTTAGTTGTGATAATTAATCGTTCAGTAAAAATTAAATCCATTGTAAAATAAAATATATGTTAATTTAATAACAAATAAATAGAATATAATTTTGATTGAACATTTATTAGCAAAAAAAACAATTTTTTTTAATTGATCAGTTTATAGAATACTAATTTTTTTACTAGTAATATTTACAATCCTTTAAAATAAGTCTTTTCACACATAGATCATCATCATAGTGCAAAATTCTCTAAAAAGTTAGATTTGGAATTGGATATATAAATTATATATGTTCACATGAAAATTATATATGTTTAAATCCAATACTACCTACAGAATCTTGAGAAACTTTTTAATTTTCTGATAATATTACATTGAATAAAAGAAAGGTAAAAGTTGATTAACTAGATGTAATTTCAAATTATAAGTAAGAATAAAATACATATCTTTATTTATCTCTTTATTCAATTAAAATTTTTGCTAATTTATCTTAAAAGTTTCTTTCATATACTAGAAATAAATTCTTGATTGTCTGTAAATGATAAGCAACATTAAATATTAAAATTGATGGTATAGACTAAACACGATAATACTGTATACCATCATGGCAATTTCTTGAGAATATATAACTTTTGATAAAAAAAATTTTACCTTTTAACTTCTACTTTTTTGCCATTATTTTATTATAGGCATAACTTACTTTTTGATAAGTTATCTAAAAGTATTTTAAACTCTGAAAACAAAAGGTTATAGCAGCTTTTAGGTGTTATGAAAAGGATTTTATTGACTATAAAAAGTTCTTATTCTGCAGCACTTTCTCATGATTAGAAGAAAGAATGCAGGCGAAAGAAAGTTCATTATTAGCGCTTCTATTAGATTAAGGTAAAATACTATGATATACCTATCATACTGTTATAGTTTCTGTATATAGTCAATTCTCTTTAAATGAATCTCCCTTAGGACAATAGTGAAAATTTTAAAAAATGTGTATTAAAGAGAGAGTGCATTTAAAGAGAAATTTTCTATAACAAGAGCATGTATTTAAAGAGAAAATACAGTATATAGTGTATATATTTTAGGGTTGATATATTAGAGAAAATTAACTGTAAAATTATAAATGATAATCAGAGACCCAGAATTATTCCATTTTTATAATTAATGAATAAAATAGAATTTTTATGAATTTTAAATAATTTTATTCTAACACGTGATAACTAACCAATCGTTATTGCAGTATTATTGACTTTATCGTGATGGAATTTGTAAGAATTTTATAGTAATTGGTAAGGAAAGGGCTAGAAATTACGTGATTAGATACCAATATAAGGTCTGATCCCTCCCTCCTTGTGATCTGACGCTAATATATTAATAATTTTTTTTGTTAAAAGAAATTATCTATTGCACACGAACTCCTCTTTCTCACTCATCCATTCATAAGATAATGAAAAGTATGTATTTCTTTTATTTTTTTGCCCTTTGAAGTCATTATTCATCTTTGCTAACAAATTTATAAAACATTTACTTAGGGAAATGTAACTTTTTTTGGTCTCTATTTTAAAAAAAATTCTGTGCCATAAAGCAACTTCGTAAATATTTTTCTTATTAGTTTTTTCTTTCATTCCAGATGTTTATAAATACTAAAAAAAAAAATAAATGCAAACTTTTTTAATAAGTCCGAAGTTTGAGAAAAAATATTTTTACAAAAATCCAACACATATATATTATGAGTTTTGTAATGCATAGGTATATTGGAAAATAATTGAACTTTCAAATCTAATACTACCAAAACAATAACTGTTGAAGCAAGCAAATACTATATAGGCTGAAATAAAATCGAAAAGTACAAATAAAATTAAGAATATTATTACAAGTTATCTAGCTACTTCAATTCTATTAACAAAATATGGATTTCAAATTTTGAATTCTGGGAATTCTAGACCAGTTCACCAAGTTAAACAAAAACCTATAATAATTCACTCTAAGGAAAATCAAATGCTATCAAATGCAATAGCATAGCAAAATGCTAATTACGAAAGAGAATGTGCTCAAAAAAAATTAGTAGAATATACTACTATGCTTGATATTACAACAGAAAATTCTATACAACAACAACTTATACATAAAATAGAAATAGAAAAACAAGTAATTGCATAGCAAAGTAAACGACTTACCAACTTAAAACGTCATGCAGTAGCACAAAGAAGACTTCAGAAATGAAAGTGACAATTATTAGAAGAAAATATTGTAGAAAAATATGACTCACCTAGTAGACCTTCATATGTTCTTAAAAATCTGAAACTATATAATCAGTTGTATGCATGTATAGAGTTTAGTTCAGCTGATAATTGACGAATAAAAGAATGAATTAAAGTTTGTACAATTTCACATCTTTGTATAGTTATAAAAGAAAATTACAATTAATATATATTAAAGTCTAGTCTTCAAACATATCTTTTATCATGTCACTTAAATTCTATTCAAACAAAATGACATTATCATTCAGCTCTTATTAGAAATGTTACAGTATCTAGAAATAAAATAAATCTGCATGAAGATGGTCATTATTGTTTAGCATTTGTAAAAAGTGCTAGACAATTTGCAAAAGCTTTCTCTAAATATTCAATTATTATATCATAAGATAATAAAGCTAAAGTATCTTTAGGAATTCCAGCAGTAGGTCGTACTTTTTCAACAGTTCAATCACAAAATTAACCAGTATCTATTTCTGATCATGATTTTCCAGTATCTTCAAAACACAAATTAATTCCTTTGGTATATCTTGTAATTGATCTAACTAATACAAATAAATCAATGAGATCAGGAAAATTAGCAGTTTTTGTAAGACCAGAATTATAGATATCAACATCAGCTTCAAGTCATATA